GGAGATGGTCGGAGGTCTTGTCTATTAAATAACGGTATGGTCTTTTAGAGGGGTGCTTTTTGTTCTATAATGCCTTGGCTACCCCTTATTTGACACTTGCTCTTCTTCTCTTTAGCATTTTGTGTTAACAAAATTTTGACCGCTACTAAAAAGGCGGCGAATCTCAAATTATATTGGCCAAAGTACCAACTCAAAAGCTCATTATTCCAGCTCTTCTTTTTTAAAATTATAAATGTGTCGTGTTGGCCGTTTTGCTTTGCAGATGGATGCAGGGCGCTACAGATAAGCATATTCTTTCCTCAAATATTCTGTCCGTCAGAACCGAATTGCCTTTCTCTTATGTACACGTTTGTCTTTAGAGCAAAAGAATAGTGGGATATTCTGATTTGACCCGACCCTGCGGATCCGACTGTTTGGTCAAATGTCCATACACTTAAAACCAATGTTCTCCCTTGCGATAGTCATCACCGGCCCGGCTTGAATCATGGAGGCGTGTCGAGAGGGGTAACCAATCGTCAACCCCCCTAGCCTTCCTCTAATCTGACTTCCGCTGACGAACAATCTTGAGCCGTGACTGTTTTCATTGATGGTCGAACGTGCATTATGAAATGGCAAGTGTGGTTATTTTTCGTACACGTCAATAACGGAATGTGTGGAGAAAAGTGGATATTATGCTTGTTTTTCTTACAAATGTAATACTATGGAATGGCTCTTCAACACGGCATTATGTTATTAGGAAAAGTAGGAAAGGTCGTTATACGAGTGTCATGGATATTTGTGGTCATTTGAGACTGAATGTGGATTTAAAACAGGAATTTTATGATGAGTATCATAAATTGAGATTACGCCCTTTAGGGGCCCGTGAGATGGTATGTCATGGTGAAGGCGGTCGGATGCTTTCTAGTCGGGTTATACCCCTGTGTTGTTTATATTTTTTATTGGGATTTTACCGACCCCCGTAAAGAAGACAGTAATGACTGTATGATCCCACAAGGCAGTGAAAGCGCTTGCAATTTATTTGCTGATAGTATGACGAGTCGCATTTTGTATTTGAATTTAGTCCAGATTTCAATTTTCCATTTAAAATATATTGGGTGGTGGCTAATTTAATATCTAAGGGAATCGAATGAGTTGATGGATTTTGCATTAGTACTAACGTGGGAGTAATTGTTACGAAACAAAAACGAATTACATAGACTGAATGACATCGGGGTGATGATAGCTTAGTTTGGGTTTGAGTGAAGAAAAGCACATTGGCTTGATAACTGTCCAATTCTTAAGTGATACAGCAAGAGTTGCAGACTGAAATAACAGGAGGAATGAAAAAAGTAGGACATGTCATAAGTACACTTTGACTACCATCACCAAAAAAAATTGATCTGCTCAATATTGTTTTTGCATACTACCGGTCCTGGGTTCGAACACTTCAAATTCCCACTAGTTTTTTTGGTTTTTTAAATTTCCTTTTCTGTTAATCTTTTCTTCTGAGCGTTTTCTAGGCTTTGAGGCTCTGGTTTAGTTCCACTGCACAGTAGCAGACATGTGTCGAGCAAAACGTAGGTGCCGACGTTTAAAGAACTTACTTTATACTGAAGAGGAGTCGGATGTAGCTATACCAATAACGATCCTATGTTTAAAAAAGGGAAACAAAATAAAACAAAAAAGAAATA